CAATAAATAAACAAATGTTGACACAGTTGATAATGCGCGTCTTTGTGCCGTCTCCCTCTCCTCTCAGAGAGGTGGATAACATCGCGTGTTACAGCACATTGGTCAGGTTAGGATACGCTGTTCAGCGGATCTGCTTTTTTCTTGTTTGTTTGTTTTGTTTGCCATATGTGGAAACAGTAATGCAGACCAAGGCTGGAAGAGATTATCTTAATTATTTGGATCCAGCTCACCGTGTACTTTTTAAAAATGTCGTATATATTACACAGGGGATTAAAGGGGACTCAGAGCTTGATTGTCTTAAGGCATGAAATAAAACACACACTTATACTTTTATCCACATGTTCAGGAAGAAAAAAAAAGGCGCTTTCTTTCTGTATTTGATATGATTTGTATAAGGGCCTTTGGACCATTCCTCTGAAATGTTCAACCAATAAGTAAGGTGCAAGGTGCAAAGTTTTATTTCCAGAAGTCTGCAGATTATTACACTGACAGGACTTACACTGTGTTTAGTGCTGCTCATTGGGAACTTTTCCTGTTAAATGAGCAAAGATGGGTAGGAACGAGTCACATTTAGCTGAGTGAATTGTATTTATGGAAGAATTTTATGACACTGTACTTTTTACATTTATTTGAGTAAAATTTCTGGATTCTCTAACCAACGTGAGTAACTTCACTGAACCAAGAACAAGCTTGTTTTCTTCGCCTGCAGTTTTTGGTAAAGTTTTATGTGTCTTACATTGAAACAAAAAGACTTGGAAAAAATGTTCATTTTGCCTGATTTTGTTACTTTGTAATTATGTTATATTTAATGAATTATTTTCATTTTGGTCCTTGAAATACCAACATGTTAAATAACATTGCATTTTGGTCCATCTGACAATGTAATTTTTAAATATTAAATGATTGCGTAGTCTTTTTTTTTTCTTACCAAATACTGTTTACTCTTGAATAATTTCTTGGACTGCTACTTTTTTTACTTTTACTTGCATAAAAATATGTTGAAGCAGTTTCAACATATTTCTTGAGACCAATCTTTTGGCTCCTCTTCCCATGTCTGCGAGGTTTGAAGTAAACATGAACATGCATCTGTATGTATAATGTATTATCTGACAATTACAAACAGCAAACAGATGAGCTCCAAAAGCGTATTCATCAGAAACCTATTAAATATGAAGGATGTGATCAAACGTTGTGCGTCTCCAATTAGACAAAAAAAGAAGTTTGAAGAACTAAAAAGAAAGCGTTGATGGTCTCCAAAGCACAAGCCTCCGTTGTATTTGGAAGAAAATTGGATGTGGCGCTAGAAATGACCAAAATAGAGATAATTTGAATTGGCCTGTTTCCTGGAACATGGACGGCGTTTAAGCACAGTCCACAAATTGTTAAAAAGGGGAGGAGGTCAGAGCCGATCCAGGATCTTAGTCTCACCCAATGCTATTTTAGAACCAGTTTTAATCCTCATTACTCTAAGTATCATATGCTTTTTACACACCAGCAGCAAAGCAAACTGCTGCTGGTGTGAAATCAAAACTACTTTTGATTGCCTCCACATATACCTGGCTTCATGTGCCAAAATCTCTCCAAGATGTTTCTTACCTGACCAGAAGACTTTTCTCTAAAAAATTTACTTTTTGTTGTTGCTGTTGCACCATCTCATGGCAATGGGAGTATTGGATGGTGGAGAGTGACACAGTCAGAAACTTCTAGTTTCCAATAGGCTTGTGTTGTTCCTGGGTTGTTCCCAAACATCCTGTCCGATTCCTTTTCATATCTGGCAGCCAGTCAGGGTCAGATGTTGAGATGCAGATATATATTTAGGACAGAACAAAAATCCAGAATACAGATAAAAACTGGTTTTGAAATGCATAAAGCGGACTAAACATTTAGCTTTAATTATGGCTCTTGTCTTGACTAGATTAAAGATTGATTGGTCGGTTGCATGTGATGTGTCTATTTCTAGTAACTGCACATGACTTTCTGTCATTGACTTGTACAGAATATTCTTGGTATTATTACTGTTAAGCTTGTTTTCTAAATTTTGTTTCAACATTTCAAGAACGGAGCCATTAAACGTGTTACCACTGGTACAACAACATTTCCGCTATGTGGGATAATAAAGTCCTTTTCTATTTTATTCTATTTATTGACTCTGATTGAAAATCCACTAATTTCAATAAACTCTAGTATTTCTGATCAGACGATTTGTGAAATATCCAGTCAGATCTCGCTGGTAAAACGTGGTTTCGCTGCGGCTTCCTTTTTTTTTTCCAAATTCAAGAGCGGATATCTGTCAAATAAATCTACTCTAAATTCAAACTTAGCATTTAGTTCCTGTGTGGAAAAATGACCTATAAAAAATTACCACAAACTCAGTGGCTGTTGGGAATTCTCCCCGCTGTGAGTTACGATTGCTGATGCGAACATTGAAGCCAAAGCAAATGAACTCCGACTCTGAGGTGAAAAGTGAAGCCAGTCTTCCCACTTATGTTTAGAAAAAGCATCTGCTCGTGTTTTGCTGAAAGAAATCTGGAGGGATTACAGGGTTTTATTTGACCAGGTACGTGAGAGGAAGAGCAGTTTAATACCCTTAAATGCGCTGGAAAAGCTTCAGTTATTTTATTGCTTTATGTTCACCAGAACACTTTGCATGCATGTCTCGCATTAGGCAAAGTTCAGTGAATGCCACATTTGTTATCATTATGGGGTGAGGAGAGACTACTACCCCCTCACCCCCCATACCCCATCCACACCCACACTCCTCCCCACTATGCATACCGCAAGGGGACGGGGGGAAACACAAAGCTTTCTCTGTAGTTAATCTGGACATGGTTTGCAAATAAAGAAAAAAAAAAACACCAGAATATTCTCCTGACAAATATAGAAATAATGTTGGGTGTTAAAGACATTTATTTCTTCCTTTCTTATGCCCATGCTGATAAACTCCAGACCAGGTGTCCTCTGAACAGCCTGCAATTGGATGCCAGATGTGAAGATTTTTGTTACTTTCTTGGCCCATCTGTAGGTGCGTCTTATGAAAACATGAAAGACAAACCTGATCTTTTTTTCTTCTTCTTCTATTTCTCATCTGCTTTGTTCAGGCACTTAAAATACAGCCCTAAGGCACATCTCTATTGAACATTATTACTTGTTTATCCAGCCGTGGCTGATTTGTAACTCGTTTTTGGAGTTCCACCTGTTGCTTGGAGGAAGTATTTGTGCTTTAGAGAACAAATACATGGCACTGCATGTTTCAATTTCAGGACTACCAGAGAGTTTAAACTAAAAACTTGCCAAAATCATACCTGAAAGAGCAAACAAACAAGACAAATAAACAAAATGTCTACATGTTGAAAATCCAATGAAGATTAGAGAAATCCTGAGCAAACAGTGTAAAGTTCGACTGTAGCTGTATAATAAACTGGTTTTGGTGTCTGACTTGCATCTTTACTTTCCTCCTTCATTCACATCAAAACACAAAGGTCAAAAGTCAGAGACTGCTTCATGATGTCGGCATTGTGTCTGCCAACATCCCCTTTCTCGCCAAACCCCTCAGTGAGCATTATCTGTGTACTGTCTCCCTCTAGTGGAGGTATGACGTAATAACAAGATCTTTTTTGGGGGGGGTCTGAAAAATGCATTTGAAACGTTCAAATTTCCACAGATGAGGAGTTTACTCCACAAAGCTAATGGCAGCGAAAGAATGGGAATATTTGTGTTGAAGTTTGTTGCACAGGCAACCTTAACGTGCAGATAAAAAGCTATTTTTCTCTGCTGCCATTCACTGGAGAGACGAGGGGAACAAACTTATTCCACATAAATGCTGTTTTGCTATGTTGGAAAAATTTCTCCTTTTATGTTTTGATAAATTTGTAGATAAAAAAAAATGATAGTGTTTTTATAGGACAAATATCTCATTACATTTGTCTGAAACTTGTATTTTGTGCTTAAATTGCATTCATTTGAAATAAACATGGTGCGCTTATAAAATATGAGTTACAATTAAACAAATTGAGATTTCATAGAAAAGGTATAAGGTAAAATCCCAGTCAGAAGTTTGCAAACTATATTCAGTGACATGAATGCCATCTAAATATGATCAATTTAATGGAACATTTTAAAGTTGCGCGCATAATCATTTGGTTTCAGCTTGTGAAGGTAACAGCCACCTGTTAGATCCTTCATTAGTTTTGCTTGTATAAGCAAAACTATAAGCCATGCTTTGATGCCGGCCCAAAGCATGGGCCGGCATCAATGTCAAAGACTCAGAGTCTTCTGGAGAGAAATATTGAAAGTACAAATAGATCCCTCTGATGTTGTGTTGGGCTCTCTTCTTTTTTTATGTGGGAAGAGATGCAGTCTCACCTAGCTGTCCATTTCTTTTTCTTTTTTAAATCACAGCCAACAGCGACACGGTGTGGCATTGTCTGAAATTACACCAACAAACACTATGATAAGAATGTAAAATTAACCTTACTGTGTTGAACAGAGAAAACCACGTCATAAACCCATAAGCAGGTAACAAAATGGCGACCTCCATAGGTGAAAAATCTAACAAAAGATGTACATTTTTGGAAGTGATTATAGGTTTTGACTCACAGACAACCATTTTTAAGTTAATATGAAAATTACAACTTATTCAGGCCAACATGTTCAACTGATTATGGATTGCTTTGATAAATTCTCCTAAGTACAAACAGTTTGTGTCTCTCATACAGTATGTGTTAGTGTTTAATATTTTAAGAAAACATATTAATAGATAATAGCTTATCTGTTTCTGCTCAATTCCATAATTTATGTAGCATTGGTGTTCAAAATATGAAACTCCCGCATAAAAAGGAGCCTCATTCGTCTTCCCAATGCATTCCCATTTTTCTAGCATAGAATGTCTTTGAGAATAACCCATAGACCATCCGTTTATATCTGTTTCCGGAACGCCTCATTTTTCATTTTCCCGTATCGGACGTATTAACAACAGAGACAAATGGAGCCAGGCATTTGTTTACATTATAAATCATTTATTGAAATATAAATCATCTGAATGTACATGATGTCAAATAATGAAACAATATTAAAAGGTCATACTGGGTGTGATTATCTTCGACTACAGAGAGAGTACCATCATCAACACATCACTCACAGACACTAGCATCCACACTGCTTTATACAGCTGAGGCAAAGGAAGAATACAGTATTTTAGGTTAGGCTTGCGTATTCATCTGCAACACATTAGACACATGGGACAAAAATAGCAAAGTGCAACAATGATTGTAGTTTGTATCACAGTCAATGGGGTGAGGCAGAGGTACAGTAAAGCGAGAAGACGGCGGTGGGGTAACACATGTAACAGATGTACCACAGTATGTTGAATTCAATAGTAATGTCTCATTAGAGCTAGCTAGAAGCTACTGGAGGTCAAAATGGCAAAGACAGTTGAAGCACGACACAATAAAAGGTCTTTGGCAGGTATTATGTTTGATTAAATACTACCTTGGCTTTGATTCATTTCATTTTATAGCTCCCTGGGATGTAGATGCTAAAAGCCTTCTGCTTGGACTTCAATCCATCTCTTTAAAAAAGTCTCGCTTGCTGTTTGTCAAGCCGTCTTCCAACAAAGCATGGGCCGGCATCAATGTCAAAGGCTAAAATTTCCCATCATACAATTCCTTCAACTTGAAGTCCTTCTTCCAATGATGCTGTCAAAGTGTTCTTCAGCTGTGGAGCACTAACTAATGTCTCCCATCTGCTGCTGCACACTGCCAGTCAGCAGGCTGAAGGAAAGGTAGTTCGCTTTTCTGCACCTTTAAAAGTATTTCACTGTGTTCACAGCTTAAATATTTAAACTGGTCTTGCGCTATAACAGAAAAAAAAGAAGAAAATGCTGTTCTCTGCAATAAATCCTGGAAAGCCACAATTAAATTTGTCATGATTATTGAGATTTTTATTTTTTTGCTTAAGTCTATGCATCAAATTGACAAAAAAATGTTTTAGATAACAAATATTATAACTTCAATCATCAAATACGCAATTACATTTTTGAAGCGATATGATTTATTTTAAACAAATCCAATTGGAACATGTTATATGTTTCAATTGAGAAATTTTGTGCAAGTATCCTGGAATCTAGCTGGACATAGACAGCAGCACCCCTCACGGTTTACCAAGGGACAAGGGTGCTAGAAGATGAATGGATGGATGGATGGATACCCCGGAATCTCAAACCAGCCCATGATTTATTCCAATCCACATATTTCATTGAGATGTCCCCATGGTGTTCTCTAGACCTAGCAGATGTATTTCTTAAAAACAGTGTCTACAAAGTAGCAGATACGAAGGAAGAAGCTTATTTTTTTTGTACTCGCATACAAAACTTGAGTATTACCCTCAGTAATTCTCTCTTATAAAACAACTCTGGAGCTATTTACATTACAATCACACTTCATTTGGAAAAACGAAAACAAACAAGAAACAGGCCCACATGTCAAATATGAGCTAGGTCTTCATCTAGAATAAAGCTGAAGATCTTTTTTTTGTGTGTGTTTGTGTGTTTGGGACAAAAACGGAGAGGCTACGCAAAGACCAATGCAACTCAGAAGCTCTTCTCGCACCCACTCAGACAGCTACGATCTGTTACTAACTATTGGTTTCACAACAATACATGTTCTTATACTGATGACGTAAAAAAATAAATTTTAACTACTGCACATACTTTGCTATTTGAGAACATTATATAGTCACAGAGAGAGAGAGGGAAAAAAAGACGCACTCAGTCCAAATGTTGTGCTTTATCTCAAAGTATTGCGACTGATTGTGCCAGCATCAGGTGCTTCCCTTGTAACAGTTCCTACTTCCTCGTAATACAGTTCCTGGTATTGGAGTCATATAGTAACAATAGTGCATTTGTAGTGGTATGTTGTAGGAGTTATGCAAAGTTTCTGACCAACACGTTCGATTTGTTCCTTCTTGCTTATACTGCAGGTAAAAGAATGCCCAAAACAATAAAGCTTTTCAAATGGAAGATGTTTTTTCCTTTCTTTTTTTTTTTGATTTGTTTGATCCGGATAGGTCCAACACCAACACTTGCTCCCTCTTGGAATCCATTGTTTCAGTCACTCTTTCTTTATTGCTCATTCCCATCTCCATTGCCAAATAAAAGAGTTGTCGTCCACGGGGAAGGGATGGGCGTACCTTACGTCACCTCGGACTCACCGAGACTGCAAAGTGGTTTTGCTCTGTCCTTGTAGGAGGAGTGTCATGGCCAGAGTCTTTGGCTGATTTACAGGTCCCACTCTAGTGTCCCATTGTCCTTGCAGCTCTGCCCCGTGCCACTCCTGCTGAGGCTGGGCAGCTGTCACAGAAAGCTGTCCTCGACCAGGTCGCTACAGTCCAGACACATCTCGTCCAACAGCGTGATGTCCTCCAGGGTCTCGCCCTCGCGCTTAGCGTAGGTGGAGCTACTTGAGCCAGTCTCAATGGCGCTCTCCTCAGACGTTTGAGAGCTACATGGGGGAGAGGATAACACATCGTTGTTAGTTTTTGTCACGGAGCTACGACAAAACTATTTTTATTTAAAGTGATAGAATTTTGCCCCACTCTTCTTTCTGACATGCGTCAAGCTCAGATTAGATGTGAAGCCTCTGTAAATCTTTTAACCGATTATTGAAAATAATTTAGTGATAATTGGATTAAGGTGTAGACTTTCACAGGACTCTTTACTATCAGATGGAAGCTGATGGTCAAAAGCACACATAAGTCATTCGATGACGTGATAAAATCGCAGTGCTATTGTGGTTTGACGTGTCATCTACAGCTGACTCTCTGTGTCTTGGTGGTGTTGTCCAAACGTGGGATATTTTCCCAATCAATTTCCAAAATACTGTCAAGTTGCAGGTAGCATCAGCTGTGTTTCCATTACAAATGTGCCCAAAACTGTGTTGATATTCCAGATAACACAGTTTTGCAATTGTGTTGTATCCATTAAATAAGATACAGAATTAAAATCGCATGTGCATAAGTTTACATGATAAATCCTTAAAAAACATGGAGCACCATCATCCTCCAACTACTTCCTGTCGTCGTCTTCTTCGTGGTTTGCGCCTCTGGCAACGTCCGGTAGTTGATCATGTGACTTGTGTGATGCTAAAAACATCTTTTCATCGTGGCTTTGCGAAATAAACAATTTACAAGAAGGCCAAGAAACCACCTGATCTTTGTTTGCCAACTTCTCACTGAAAAACAAGTTCTTTTGTGTGTGTTTTCTTTTGGGAAATTAGCCTGTTTCTGACAAGCAAATTTATTTTCAAAACGTCAAATTGCATAATTAAGTGGTCAATGGAGACAAGCTACCATCATTGGTCAGAGGTTTTCTCAATCCAACAACGTTCAGTTCATTCAAACCTTTTCCATGTTTTGGTTGGCCTTTTTAAAAACGATACCTGTCCTTTGGCTGCTTTTCCACAAAAAATATGTTTATGGGATGCCATACTGCCTGTTGTTGAACATAATAATGACTCTGCATACCTGTGTCTGTTCCTCTTTCCGTAGTCATCATCAGATATAGGGTCCAGGTCAGGGAGTGGGATGATGTAGCCGCTGTCGGAGCTCAGCCGCTGCTCGTCGAAGCCGCTTTCCCTGTCCTTTAGCTTGCCCTGGTTCTTGTAGGGAATGTCGACATAGTCGGCGTCTGTCTCGATGCAGACTCGGGTAACGGCGGGATGGTCGCTCTTCAGAAAGTCGTGGTTCACCTTCTCATAGTGCTGCGGAAGAAAACAGCATGTGGATTTCAGAAGTTGATCCAAAATAAGACACTTGTTAAATGTCTTGTTATGCGAAGAATAAAGGCGGTGGGAGCACGGTCATTGGGGAGTGCACACGTCAACAGAAAATACGTCTCCCGTTAGAGAAGGATTGTTGTGTGAGGATTTTGTCATCAGCTGAATGGTGTGACCCAGGCTGGAAATCACAAACATGCCCGCCAAACCAAACGTGCAAAAAGACTGGCTGCTCCTGAGCTGCCAGCCATTAAAACTGGGAGTAGGACAGGGGCAAAGCTGTTCTGACGCACAATATGTGCTGTGGAAGTCTAATTAAGGCTGGGTGGTGGAGGCGAGAACTGAGGCTGTGTCATTACCCAGACTGAGGTCAGCCACTACGACCATCCAGCTGCAGCATTAAGGCTCCAATCACTTTTACACAGATGGAGGGAGAGAGCCTCCAGGAACCCTCCCAGTGTTCTCACAGAGGAAGTGGACCCAGCAGCTTTAACAGGGGGAGGGGAGAAAGGACTCTGGACCTGTATTTTAATCTGCAAATAGTTGGCGACAAGACCAGTAAAGCGACCCAAGAATGAAGGCAACTAAGACGGGAGGCGGAACGTATCGGTCAGTAATGAGTGGTGGTAAAACATACAGAGACGGGAGGAGATGGGAACGCTCACCCTCTTGTAGCTGGAGGGCAGCAAAGACGCCACATTTTCACTCAGACCCATGAAGGAAGGCCTCTTTTCCGGCTCTGTGTTCCAGCACCTTATCATCATCTCGTACCTGAAAAAAGGTGCGCACAACGTTGCTGAAAAAGGACGGCGCAACCCAAGCATTGTAATTTCACCGTGGTGAATGTCAATCGTCGGCACATTAGAGCTCTCAGAAATGACATCGTTTGGCGTGACGTCAGGGAGGTTTTTGACAGATGCGACATGCCTACAACATGAGGTCACGTACACGTCTTGCGGAGCGTGCTCAGGTTTTGACATCCTGTATCCGCTCTTGATTTTGTTGTAGAAGCTGGAGTCCACCACCATCCCGGGGTACGGAGTGCCACCTTCACACAAAGAGACAGTTATTTATGACTGAGAGCCAGCTGCTGTCATCAAGTAGCTTATTCTCACTCTATTGCACATGGCAAAACTTTGATCGATATGTAGCGCCTTAAATAAACCTTAAAATAATTCCTCTTTAACCGCAGTAGCATAATCTAAAGCAAAAATATTCTCTGAAATAGAATATTTGAGGAGGAACCGGACGTTTCACTCTTTGTCATATTGGATTTATATCCGAGGAAAACAGTGATAATTTACTGTTAGCTGAGCACAAGAGGACCCTTGAGCAGCTTGTTTTGCAATAACTTGTCTGATTAGCAAACCATAAAAAATGGATACAAAATGTACATATTCAAAAGCATTTAATGCATAAAAATTTTATAGAAGTAATATGGGCCACTGAAGTATTCATTTTCTAACACACAATCTTTTCCTAGCTGACTTAATGTAATTGAATTACAGGTGCAAGTTTTCTTAAAACAAAGCCTGTAAATGTTTTTCTCGTTTTGTTTTTTTGCAGGTGCCAATAAATGTAGAGAATACTTTAAACATCTGTGCAAATAAAAAATGACAGTATTTCTACAACAAAAAGCTCTTTGTTAATTAATTTTTTTAAGTAGGTTATGTTAATATATCATGAACTGTTTTATTACATGCAGTAGCTAACTCACTTAGTGACTCTTGCGAATCCACATCGGTTGGTCTGAACTGAAGCTAACAGCTAATCTCAGAGGGCCAAACACTGCTATAAACTCAAATTCATCATGGCGGCTTATGCAAATAAATTTTTTTTTTGCTAGCTTTTCAGCTGTCATTGAGTTTTCACTGTGCAGTTTTTACACAGAAGCTGACAAACGTTTAATGGAAAACATTTGTCAGCTTTTACTGATGGTGCAGGTTTTGCACCACCAACAATCTCTCTGTGTGAAACACGAACACATGGAATAAGCATCGGAAAAGTGAGTAACAGTGTTTACTGCTGTATTATTTCTCGCCACATCATCTCAACTTCCTATTCCATTTTCACGACATTTCAGAACGGTCAATATGAACCACACGGAAGCCCCTTCTCCTACTCATCACTACAACAACTTTCATTAATCATTGCATGAATTTATGAACTGAAGTCGTTTTAAAAACCAACCTAGAGTGAATATTTCCCAGAGGAGGATGCCATATGACCAGACATCGCTAAGGCTGGTGTACAGGTTGTCAAAAATACTTTCCGGGGCCATCCACTTCACTGGCAGAAAGGTCTATTAGAGAAGAGAGGTCATGAAAAGAACAGATATCATTAAAGCGCTGCAGGACCTTAGCTAGAAGTTCATGACTGAGCAGACACTCACGCTTCCTTTGGAGACGTAGTTGTTGTCATGCATGATGTCTCTGGCCAGCCCAAAGTCACAGATCTTAACAATCTTGCCTTGAGAGAGAAGGACGTTCCTGGCTGCAAGGTCCCGATGCACACACTGTCACAAACAGAAGCTGATGAGCAGCATGAAGGAGTTGCTGTCATCCGTTTGCTCCAGCACATTCTGCTCCCCCAGCCACAGACTATTCCTGTGTCGCATTTTCAGCCAAGGTCATTTTTAATACTGTTTCATTTTGCTTTATGAAGCATAAACGTCGCGTAAACAGGCTGGTTGGTAGAGACGGCCATGACCGCTGGGATATTTAGAGATAATAACTATGAAGTCGGAGAAATACTTTCTGGCTGCAGCGCGTCTCGGCCTGGTAATTCTAGCTCTCACTTCGCTCCTGCTATATTCGGCGCCCGGCCTCTCTCCTGAGCGGCTTCGGCAACCTTTATGGAGCCGCTTATCATACGCCCGCTGCTTTCCCCTGGTCCCCGACCCCTCCCTGGGCAACTTCGCCTTACGGAGCATAAAACAAAATCTGCAAAACTCCGTTTATAGCCTCGGGAATCAGAGCACCGGCTTTCTTCAAACGTACATTTTTGGACGCGAGAAACTCCATCCCTTTGGCCACCTGGTAGGTAAAGCTGAGCAGGTCGGTGGTCGTGAGGCCTTCGCTCGTGTCGTCTGACAGCAGGTTGTCGGATTCTGGTGGGGAAAACACACCATCAGGGTACCCGTGAGTGAATGTTCAGTCGTAAATATAGCCAACTTTTCTTAGACCTGGCTTTTAATGGCAGCCTGAAACTGGGCATTATTATGTGTGCGCTACAATTATCTTCTCCGGGTAATTACAGGCCACTGCCAGGCCTAAATTCTGACGAGGGTGTACCCCGTTTAACCAACAATGACTCAAACACAACACCGAGGCCCAGCGAGCGTGAGCCAGTGACTCTGAGGACCTGAGAAGAGCTGTGTACACACCGCCTGAGTCTTTCTGTGAAGGAGGGTGGTCGTAGTTAGATCCCTGGAGAGAGTAAGAGGCGTGCTCATCTCCCGCATGGGGAGGGGTGTTGTCCCGATCCTGTGTCAAGTACTTGGTCGTGCTCATCTCCAGCATGGGCACGTACTGGGTGTTGTCCGCCTGCTTCATGTCCATGTAGTCTCCTTTACACTCAAAGGACAGGATCACGTAACTGGGAGCAAAGATGAGAGAGGAAGAGTTGATGGCAGCGAACTGAGAGGATGTGGATTTCTGTAACAGAAAAATGTCACACTGCTGGATCTTTTTTGTTTTTACCGTTTATTATGTTAAAGCTGAATTTCGTGCAGTAAATTACACCAAAATGTTTTGCGTGGAAGAATTTTTTGCCCATTAATCTTTGCTAAAAACTTCAGACTGGGTGGAGAGCATCTGTGAAACATTGGTTTGTTTTCAGAAATGCTTTGCTTGTTTTACAACTGGACCATTTTAACAAATAAAATAGTTTCAATCTAAGCCTTCAGGTTGTAGCTGTGATTCCATGTTCTCTGCATGTCTTCCTGCTGGAAGGCGAACCTCCACCGCAGCGTCACGTCTTTTGCAGCCTCCTCCGACATGCTTTCTGCCGTGATTTGTCTCCCTTCGACTCTTTTCAGCTTTCCTGTCCCTGCTTAGCGCGATTAAGTCATCTCCGAATTTCAAGGTGTGGTCATTGGTTATTTTAATGCCAGCTCTTTTCCATGTAGTCAAAAAGTTTTGCTATTTCACTTGACTAATGAAGTAAAACAACATGCTTGTTTTAACCAAAAGCCCTACATGGCTGAAAACAGGAGTTCTTATTCCTTATGGGTTAACACTTTCCTTATTTCTAAAAAAAAAAAAAAGATGTTTGGAAGGCACAACCAACACATGAGAATATGTTTCTAGCTCCTGGGAGGTTCTCTGTTGCTTTTCTGATGAATGGTGTTCATGGTGGATGACCACATCCTGGTAGTCGCACAGAAATCTTTCCATTTTACGATGCGGGATTGGACAGTGAGGCTCGCCGAACCGTGTTTCAGATCTCTTCGAAACTTTATCACAGACCTGTCTGCTGTGTTTCTTTGCTTTTTATCGCAGTTTCTTCATTTATGTTTCTTCATTAATGTTTTATCACTTGTGCGATAAAAAATTAATTATCGCACAAGTGACCAATTTGTGGTCTTCTGAAGGCAACTAGTTGTATTGGATTTTATTGAGGAGAGTCGGAGTTGAGGATTTGGCACACAAATGTCACTGGAAGACACACTTTCATATTGTTGATTGTGAAAAAAAATTGTTTTTCTTCCTCTTCACAGTTGTTCTGTTCTTTGCGTTTCTTATTCGCTTAAAATTCTGACAAAATATATTGACGTTTGTGGTTGTGCTGTGACATAAATTTGGAAAAGTTTAAGGAATAGCTTTGAACTAAAAGAACTAACAGATGCTGCGAGCGATAACTAGCATCTGCTAGTTCTCCTGTTCTTTGGGCTGAGGTTGGAGCCTGAGGCGAATGCAGTAGCCAGGATTAAATCATCTTATGGGTGTTTCGAGGTGCGGCCACTTTGAGACATCCATCAGCACAAGACACCCCTTAAAAAGGGGAGGACAGGCTGATGTTTCACTGAACGTTTGTGCAGATACAATTAACAGGTAGCTGAGCAGCAATGACATCATAGGCTGAAACAAGAAACCACTCGAAGCATTGATCTGATTAGGGGAAAATGCCGGACAGTATCCTCCAACGCTGAGTTACCATTTGGAACATTTTCACGTGGTTTTGCGTCTTCTCCCCACATAAATTTTTGCAACTAAAAATTTTAAATGTTGTTTTCGTCTCGGATTAAAACAAGATCATTTGAGAGAAGAAGTCCAGCTCACTGGACTGCTCAGGCCGTCGTACCTCCTGCTGTTCTCGTCCGCAGGATTGATCCCGAAGATGTCCAGCTCCTTCTTGTTTTTCTCTGGACTCAGGCTGAGGAAGCTCTCCCTGTTCTTGTGCAGATAGTTGACCAGGTCGCCGTGGAAGCAGTACTCGGTGATAATGTAGATAGGGCCTGGGAACAACACGGAAGATAAAGGCGGGCACCGGCGTCAGTCTGCAGGCTAATCTTATCAGAGCCTCATAAAGGCTAAAAGCTCAGCCAGGAGAGCAAGCCTCTACTTTCCCATAAAAGGCCTATTAAAATAGTACGCCCACCAGAAGCTGTCAGTCTGCTGCGGCTCTAGAGAGCCGTAAATGTCTTCTACAATCTAATGCAAGTGTGTGTCCCTGTGTGTGAACGAGGCGATAATTGTGCCTGTCTGCGTAAAGCGGTGACTGAATCACATGAAAGAAGCGACAATGGCAGTGACATACGACTATACAGCCCGTCTTTGCCTTAGAGCGAACATGTTTGTCTGGGTCTGCTGTTTTTGCGTGTGCTTTTATCACCTGACTTGGTGCACGCTCCCAGGAGGTTTACGATGTTGAGATGAGGTCCGAGGTGAGTCATGATCTTCAGCTCCGACATCAGAGCCTGCTTCTCACTGGAGCGAGCCGTGGCTGGAAGAAAGTGCAGCAGCCATGACTATCAGACGACTGCACAGTCGGTGCACAGATGAGTCATAAAATCACGCACCACCTATTTCTTTGATCCGGATAATTTCCCAACTCTTATCTTGGTTTGCTTGGGAGATTCTTGCTGTGCCCACTCAATCTGTTATTGAGGGTGTTGCTATATTGACATCATTTCAGTCATTTGTTGTTGGAACAGTGCAGACAATAGTAAAATGCAAACATATCACCGTTTCAAAAGAAGAATTTTAACTAATATAACAGAATGGCATTGGTTTAATTTGACAAATTGGTGCTGCTGACGGTTATACTGTCAATAAATAAAGTGTTTTCTGAATGATCATAGCAACTAGAAACGTATTGACAAGAATTTTGGTGCAAGATTAATAGAAAACTTGAGAACTTGCAGGTGTTTTTTGTTCAAATAAAAAGCAAAGAGCTGTGAAACTTTTGTAAAATCTTCAGTGCATCACAGTAAATATTTGCTTTGATCTATTTATATGAAAACACAAAATCGTAAACAATAACTCTTTATTAAAAAAATCAACATCACCTTCAGTAAATGAAAGGCATCCAGGCTGTCAACAGGTCCTTTTCACATTGTCTTGCAAAAGTGGTCACACCAGTTAAACCTTTTCCACAAACCCAAGTTTTATTGTTGAGATTTTATGTGTGAGATCAATACCAAGTAGAGCAGAATGGTAACCAGAAAGGTTTTGAAAACCATGCTTCACCTTCCATTTTTAGTAAATATACTGCTTTGTCTTTTGCTGTTTATCACATATAGTCCCAGTAAAATTGTTTGGCGTGGTAAGACCAAGGCTAAATTATAAGCAAGTATACTCTGTACCCTATGTGACCACTGAGGTCAAATGAACATACTGGATTTATGGGTAAAAGGCTATGTATGAGTGAAGCCTTTTGCAAATTACATTCTATAGTAAACTGGAGTTTTTGTCCCATTTAAATCAAACAAAACTAGAAGAAAGAACCGCAGAAATGTTTAAAAAAGTTAAATGTTCAACTTGGGAACATTTCACTTTACCAGTTTAGAAAACGCAGAGCACAATGTTGCGTAAAGTTAAGACACTATTAGTAGTTCACGCTTTTACAAGCACACCCTTTCACCACAGCCTTGTGAGAACAAAGCCAATGAAGCTATTTGCAGGTCATGTTTATCACCAATGGCTCAAACAACAGCATTTAAACTGCTTAATTTGCAGTCAGCAATACTTACGCTGACTTTGTAAAAATGCTTCACCTCATCGGCTGAAAACCCATAATTTACTCAAAGAAGCAGGCAAAAAGACCGAACTGGTCAACTAGCTTATGCAATCAGAGACTAAACAGTGGCTTCTAGTGGCACAGGTTAGCAGTCTTTTAGATTAAAATTTCTTTTAGACTTACGTTTCAGCATCTTCACTGCCACCTTCATAACAGGCTGAGAGCGGCTGAGTCCGTAGGCAGTGCCCTCAACCACCTTCCCGAAGGCTCCAGAGCCCAGGATCCGGCCTGAGGATTACAGGAAGGCACATGGGTCAGTCATCCAGGCCGAAACGAGACACAGACGATCTGCTTTATCATCTGTGACTCTTGCAGTGGCTGCATTTCCCCTTGATCTATGGAATAAACTGAATTGTAGCTGTCAGAAAACCTCTCATTCTGAGCTATCTTATCACAGGCCTTATTTCAAAGGCAGAGTGAGATTCACGAGTTGCAACATCTCCACGAGGAGGGGAACTTATAGGGTTCCAGAACATCATAAAGACATTTAGCTCACCAAGCACAAGTCTATCTCGAGGAAACTCCCATCTGGAGTCATAGGGAAGCTGCATTGGATCCACATAGATGTACTCGTGACCGTCTGGACTCACAGACTCTATGACCCTCCAGCGGATCTCGTACCGTGGCTTCTGGAAGGCAGAGGATGCATAAATTCATGGCTTCTCCATTTCCACGAGCAGAGCAGAAAAACCAAATGCGCTATATTTAAATCTAGTGTCTCTTGGTCTGATTCGTAACCCCACATGAATGCTTGAAATATGGAAATGAGCGACAGAATGGCGTGAAACTGTGCAGTATGATGTCAACAGTACCTGCTTCCAGATAACAACCAAGACAATGAGTGAGATGATGACAATGACCAGGAGGACCAGCACAGCAGCAGCTACCGTCAGCTCAGGGTGAGGGCCTGTTTGTAGGGAAAGCCAAGGATGGCATATGTTACATTCTGAACACTCGTCATCACCTGTGCGGTTGGTATGAAGTAGCACTTCATTTGATGGGTTGTGAATAAGACGGTCATTACACCGTCTTAAACATGACATGACACCAGTCATGAACATTAGTATTACAGATTAGACTTTAGCTTTAATAACATAAAGCTACAGAATCTCTAGAGTTTAATCATCAATGCTTTTATAACAAATTTGTCAGCTCATCATTTCTTAGTTAATGTCAAGTTGTCATAACAAAGATATGTTGAATAATGTCAACTTTGTATTAAAAGTGTCACAATTTACTGAATGACACTTTTTGACAACAGTCACAAATATTCATGAAGGCTTACTCACATTCATGGCAGTCTTATTCACAACCTGTCAAATAAAGTGTTACCAAATACATCATGTGTGTTGCAATAGAAATTTTCCTTTACAATGCAGTTTCAAACCACAAGACATGTTGACAACTAGCTCCTAAAGGGTGTTGCACCACATGATAACTCACAGACCTGTGAGAAAAGACACAGGTCTTTCTCACAGTAGCTGGAAATGTATTCTTCCAGGTTTAAGTTCATTAGAAGGCCCATTGAAACTCCAAAGAACATTAAAGTCAGATTAAAGTCAAGCAGCTGACTGGTAGGTGCGTTCTTACCATTGGACACCAATTTGATCTCCCTGCTGTCAGCTCCTATTCCATTCTTGGCAAGGCATCGCACAGCCAGAGTGCTTTTCAGATGGCCAAACATGACCTGGCTCTCCAGGTTGCTCTCCTCATCGAAGTGGGACTCCGTCGTGATCTCTGTGGAGTTGGTGGGTAGAGGCGCCCAAAAAGACGAGTCATTGGCGCATCTTGAAGGGAGTAAGATAAGAATATATAAATTGAAATGGTTATGGCTATTGAACTTTTTTTTTAAGACAAATATGTAGTCATTTTTAGAGTAAATAGTGGATCTTACTGTTTGATGTTCTTGCATATGAACCACTCCACAACAGGAGTAGGTTGCCCCCTGGTAATGCAGACTGCAGACTGTCCTGTGGTGGAACCATGGTGGATGTCCATGAGGTCCACAATGACTGCAGGCACTGTAACGTTGAGCAGTACAAGGTTTGTGTCAATCACAGAAGGCAGGCCTTCACAGTGGCTGCCTACTGTTGGTATTGTCAATTGGTATCATCAATTTCCTATTGATTTGATAAGATGAAGTCTTCCTCCTGACCTTTAACCACCAGGTTTAAGCTGACTTCATGGCTCTGGTTTCCGTTCTCCACCCGCAGGGTGTAGTTCCCACTGTCCTCCTCCCTGACCCGGATCAGGGTGAGAATGCTTCTGTAGCTGTGTAAAATAAGAGCAACAGAATGTGAACTCATCAAAAATAGCACTAGACAATTTGTGGTGGCTCTTCATTTGCCTTCAGAGGAATAGTGATAGAGACTAACCTGGTCTCACTGGTCTGCTTCAAACTGGTGGAGATCTCAGCGGTCAGGTCGCTGAGCGGGACACCGTCCTTGAGCCAAGTAACATGGGCATCAGGAAAGGAGGAAATTGTGGCAATGAACTCCCGGACGTCATCCAGCTCAGCAGATTCATGGTCCCGAAACTCCGGCTTGATTGACAAAAACTCACCGGCTGTTGGAAAAGTGGTCAATGCTCATAACGATTTCAAAAAATGACCTGAAGAAATACTGCAACAAAATATTCACTGCAATTAAAGATTAAAGACTCATACCAAACACTTGAATTGCTATTTCCTTTGTCTCTGTGTCTCTAGATGCCACAGTGGTAATGGAACAGGAGTAGATGCCGCTGTCTTTGGTTGAGGCTTGTGGGATTGTCAAGGTGTACAGGATCTGGCCTTCGTTCTTATTTTCCCATACAGTTTTGGTACCCCGATTAGCCTGTCAGACCAAAGAGGATCACCATATACCTTTATGTCAGTCCTATCTTACAGCTTAAACACATAATAAAGATTGGAAAACTCATTGGACTTCACAGATTGCCTTGTAACCTCACCGGTTTGCCAGGGTATTTCCAGTTGTCTTCCAGTAAATAAGGTCCTTTAGCCAAACAGTTGACAATTATTGTGTCTCCAACCAGCAAAGCAGTTCTTTTGGCAGACAGCTCGACGTGCAAGACATCTGAAATGGAGCAATTGATACCAGTAAAAGCCTTGTGAGGTATCAGAGAGCCACTGAGCATTTGATTCACAGTTCAGTTAAAATAGGTATGATTCGCAAATCTCAAAAACACGCACCTATGGAATCATGGACGATGTATTGCTCACTGGTGTGCTCCTCTCCATTGATCAGACCCTTGCAGACATAAGTTCCAGTAGGAAATATTCCCAAAGCACCCTTTTTACTGTCATAATCACTAGGTACGGTTTGGTTGGTGTCAACATTCACCAGTGTCACAATAGCTCTAGGATCAGACACCCTGCAGGGAATCTCGATCTCATTTTGGTCAGCCGGCACGTGGTTAATGAAATTTGGCACGAACAGAGAGTCTGGATCTGTGTTGGGGTATAATACATCTATTAAGCCAAAGGAAAATGTCAAATACCAAAGACCCATAAGCAAATCTACACTCCATACCTGATACATAGACGTAAATACTGCTGGTCTTGGTTTCCTCTGCATTGTGGTCGTTGTAGAGGCAAACGTAATAACCTGTGTGCATCGCTGTGGCTTCCTCAACAGCGATGGTGGTGACAAAAAGGCCACTGTCATCCTCCTGCGATTGCTCCAGCATGTCGTACGGTGTTTCCCACATCAGCTTCGCACCGCCGCGACACGTCAGCGTGAACGGCTCGTGGAGAGGGACGACAATCTCATCCTCGTCCGGCAGCAGAATAGGGGGGAAGGATGGTCTGATGTTAAGTCTGCCGGAACCTGAAACGGGACACGTTAAGAATTTCGGTCATAATTTATGACCCACTTATCCATCTGGCTCGTATTTATTTTTCCAATCTGTTTGTTTAACCTGTCACTTGGAGGATGAATGAGAACTGAGCGGTGCGAGAGCCGCTTATGGCTGTGATTGTGTAATTTCCGCTGTCTTTCCCCATTGGCTGCCGGAACGTAACGATGCTCTGATACCTGCATGAAGAACATTGAAGCTGATCAGACAATCATTCAAGAATCTTTGACAAATCTGAATTATTTGTTACATTTGAGCTTTTCACATGTTATTACAATACAACCAGAATCATCAACATACAAACACCAAAACAATGCAGTGCATAGTTGTGAAAGGGAAGGTTGCCTGGTTTTGATTTAGTTTTTTTTTCTGTTTTACAAAATAAATCTCTGATGAGTGCCTCATTCTACTCATCCCTTCCCCAATTACAAAAATCCTGGTCTAATGCATAAAATCCCAATGAAATAGATTGAAGTCTGTGGTTTTTAGGAGACAAAATGTGAGAATAATTCAAGGATTTCATTCATAACTTGTGTTTGTGCATATTTTGATCAAGAAAAACACAGATTTTTCTCACCGATTTCCTTCCATGTGGCTTGTTTTGGAAGAAATGTAGTAGTTCTCCGACAGCGCTTGGCCGTCTTTCATCCATGACACTTTCGGAGCCGGGTATGCATTGATGTAGACGGTGTACTGAGTCTCTGCCAGAATGCCAACAGACTCCATCTGCATAATCCCTCTGTGGTCCAGGGTGACAAAGGAGTTTCCCTCTTCAACCACAATAAAGGAAGAAGATTAGCAAATGATGATGATTATGGATTTACAAAAAATCTCTAAAGACATGGAGTAAACATGAAAAATACGGTGGCAGAAGAGTAAAATGAGACAGGGCGAAACGAGGACCTGACACACATCTGCTGAAACCATCCCATAAAACACACTGGCTGATGGTAAAAACAGAGCTCAGGCTTTAATGTTGCATAGAGAAAATGACTTCCACACAGATCTAGGCACGCCACGCGCACATGTGTGAAACACGCTAATTCACCTGATGATGAGGATATCAAATATTTATTAGGGACTGTAAGTCATCACGTCGAGCACGCGGCGTTACACTCCAGCTGGAGCCCTGTTCAAAAATACTTGGTGAATGTTTCTGATGGGGGTGGAGGGAGACTTACCGAACACAGACACAGCCACGCTGCTCACCCTGGTTTTTCCACTGGCTTCATGCCTGACCGAGCATTCGTAGCTGCCGCCGTCCTGAGCGGCGGCTCGCGGGACGCTCAGAGTGTAGATGACCCAGTCGGGAAGTCTTTCCGTCGTCTGAATCGCATTTACAGCCTGTGAGAAAGAGGTGGGGGAGTAGAATATGTTTTACGAAGCTGCTCACAATTAGAATGGGTAATCACATAAAAAATTATTTGATTTATAGCACAATTTGGCTGCTTAAGCTTTGCGCAGTTTTTTTTTTTTCCGTTTTAAAGTTACTGCACAAGGCCGATGGCTAAACACTGGTGAGGCCAGAGGAGATAAATCAGGATCTCAGAGCCTTTTAAAAGCCTGTAATTGCAGCTGAGACCAGAACCAGGACTCAGGCCTCCTGCATCCCTGCCTCACTATCTCTGGAAAAAGGCTTAAAGGAATCCCTCACAGAAGATACAGCACCTTAAAGAGTGTGCAGCAGCACAAACACAACTTGTACAGTGGCTCGTAAAGGTATTCAGACTCCTAAACTCCTTCAACTTTTGCCACATTGCGACTGCAAGGGTTATAGAGGTTTGTTAGAGAATAGCAGAGAAAAAGAAACGAGATCGTGAAGACCAAGGAATCCAACTGTAGAGGTCAGGAAGAAAGTTCTGAGGTTCAAAGCTGGGTTGAGTTGTAAAACAATCTTTGAAACTCTCACAGAGCGCTGTTCAATCCATTATCCAAAAAAGGGAAGAAGACGGCACAACTGCAAACCTACCAAGATGTGAACTGATCAGAGAAGCAGCAAAGAGGCATATTTACTGTACGAGGTGCAGAAATGGGAAAATCTGATGACAGGACAACTATTAGTCACCTACTTCACAGCCCTGCACAGCAAACATGCAGAGGGTGGAATTGTGGTCAAATGAGAACAAAACGTAACTTTCTGGTTGAGATGCAAAATGCTGTGTCATAGAAAACTAGCACTGCACATTCCCCCCAACACTGCTGCCCATCTATCACCCTCCCTGAACACACCATCCCAGCGATGTGTGGATGCTTTTCTTCAGCAGGGACAGGGAAGCTTATCGGGGAAGATGGATGGAGCGCAAGCCTGCTAGATAACAGCAGCTGCACTGGAAAGGAGTTTCAAAGTGCTTGCATTTGTTAGAATGCACTGACAACAAAGATAATCAAGCTTCAATATAGAAAAAATAAATCTATCTCCAGGGGTCAACAGGCATCACATTCCTAATCCCTAACCCCAAAACAGCATTGCTCCTGATGGGACCAGGATTTGTCCCCACAGACCCACAGTATATACAGAAATAAGTCCCCACTAGGGACTGAAAACCAGGTTCTCTCTCTTACACACACACACACACACATGCACTGAAGGTGAATTTTAGAGAGACCAATTAACCAGAGAGTCATGTTATGTTTTTGGACTGTGAGAGGAAGCCGGAGTACCCGGAGAGAACCCATGCATGAACAGGGAGAACGTGGACGCCGGGTCGGGAATTGAAGCCAGGACCTTTTTGCTGCAAGGCAACAGTGCTACCACCTGTGCAGCCCAATTGAGTTAACTTGTTGCATGCAATTTGTCAAACTTCATTTATTTATGTTTATTCTTGTGGATGAACTTAATATGATCATTTTAGCAAACTAACTCAACAAACATAGACTTGAAATTTGCTGTTCATGAAAGATCTCCATTCACTGAAGGAGTTTGAGCTGTTTTTGTTGAAGAAAATGGACAGAAAGTTTAATAAAAACAACCTTTGATTTTTATTTGTAACTTTTTCTTCGTGATTAAACTGCTTCATCATATATCATCTCACCACATACATCACTGAAGTGCCATTGAGCTTTAGTGAATGGGATGAAGTTCATGGGGTGTGAACACTTTTGTAAGATTCAGTTTGTGAAACTGTCTCAGACTCTTAATGTTTGGCCGACTGTCACGTGGAAACGGCATCCACCCCACCGGTCTCACGGTCAGCAGGTTCAAAGAATTTACTGTCCTGTTATTTATCGTCCTTTGAGCTGCCTCCTTTCCTTCAGCCATACATCATGAACCTTTAACCTCCCTGTCAGGCTCTTTGACACTGGGGTTAGCTGGGACACTGAGGTTTTACACGGACATTGTCCCAATCAAAATGACGTTTAAAAAACAAACACATTGCAACCCCCTAAAAGATGGACTAGATTGCAAAGATCTGAGTCTGACATCTCAACAGTATGAAATAAAGATAAATATGACCTCATAGGATTCTGGATCAGAGCTCAGAAAAGACCAATTAGAGGTAAAGAAAGGGGGAACAAAATGTCGTCTTACCTGTGTTTTCAGATGGATCCACTGCTGGTGGAAGGCTGGGCCAAAGGGTCCGATACAGGAGACGTTAAAGGGCTCCCCGACTCGCACCGTCTCTGCGCTGGCTTTAACTTCCACCTTAAAGTCGCTCACCTCCGTGGATCCTGCAGCCGGGACCACCACAGAGAGGCTATCAGCACCGACATCTCACAGGAACCCAGATGGTGACAGCTTGATTACTGTGACCACATTTATCATGGCGTAATGGCTGATGAGTTTCAGTCATTCTCTCTCACACACACAAATACATGCTGAGCTTGTGCATATATGTGTATAAATTCAATCCAATAAGATCACAAACCAGCTCCTCTACAGACATGAGAGTTCTTGCTGCTCTTTAATCGTTGTTGTTTCACTACAGTTTCCAAACAACCAGCCTCTGATCGTTTTTTTTTTTTAAGTACTATGAGGCGGTATTTTAACTGTGCAACAAATTCTCACAAGTAATAAAACCATAGCTGTGTGGTAAATTATACATCTCCATGAAATATGTTTCTAAGAAGAGAAGAAAAAAAATGCTGATTTTGCTTTTTGCCTGTTTCGGGATGTGGCTTTAATGAACGCGAAGGAAAACGAGTCAGTCTGACAGATTCCAACTTAAACTGGAACCTACACTGGAGCTGCAAGGAGGTTCGACCTTACATGTTTGATCTGATGACCCCCACCCTCTAACAGCAGGGTGGTGACGACGACGACAGAGATTGCCTCAAGATCTTTAAGAGATACACACAAACCAGACCACGTGCTTATCAACATTTGACTTAAAATGGTAGCTGAGGATTCTGGGTTCTTACATCTGTCCACCCCAGTGTGTCATGGTTCTCCAAATGTGTTTTTGTTGCCAAATTTTCCTGAAATCCGTGAAGTATTCTCATATGTGGCTCAAATGCTTTGCTGCAGTTATTCTTAATTCAAGTGATTTGATTAAAAACGTGACAACAAGAGGGACAAAATAGCACGGAAGAAATAAATCAAGTGGTCGTAATTGAAATTAATTCTGATCAGTTCCCTTTTGCGATGTTATCAGAGGCCTGTGCTTGTGGAGGATTGTTTGGGTTTTTTTAGGGGGGGAGAGGAAGGCTTGATTAAAAGACAAACAACAAGAACATAGTGAAACAAGTAGAAAAAGTGAACATGTTGTCCATAGCTGACAAACTACATCTAAGCGAGTGGTGTTGCAGCTTCAAATGTATAAGAAATACTATTTCTGACTTACCCGATCTCATTACGGTGTAGATGTCGCTTTGGAAAGTCTGGCCGTTAACTGTGGCCTCACACCTGTACTGGCCAGGAGCGGAGATCCCCATGAAGCCCAGCCTGTAGTCGTAGTACCTGTGGAGCTTCTCTCCGCTGGGGACTCGGATCAGTTCCACATCGTGGGTCTGTGCCGTCGCTCGGCATGGGATGATCAAATCATCCTCATAGGGGATGAGCAGGTCTTCTGCTCTCTCTGGGACAAACAGGACCTGAGGGTCTAGAAATGGACAAGAAAGAACGTAACCTTTTGTAAAGTAACAGTTTGTCGTCCTTATGCCAACTTTAAAAAGAAATAATGGTAATTGGTCAGTCATGTATGATCTAGTCTGAAGTTTTTCGATCATAAATTGATTGATTTGTTTAGTTTCAGTCAAGCTGATGGGAATAACACCATCTGTTTCCAGGTCTGCTTCACACTTCTCCCACTTTTTCTGCTGGTCTCAACTGAGTCACTTTGCTTCCCCACGATGCAGCTCTGTCATTTCTTTTTTATATATTGTAATTTTTTTTTCTTGTAATAGTTTCCTCACTTGTTTGCTTCTGAGTTTTCTTTTTTTTTTTAAATGTATCACTTCTATTTTACGTTTATGGTTGTTTTTTTTTTTTTTTTTTTTTTTTTTTTTGCATTTCTTGTTATTGTCCAATTTGATAAACAAAAAACAAAAAATGACCATCTTCCTGCTTTGTATAGCCATCCTGATGAGCGATATTATCCCATCAGCCTGAACAAGAACATTCATATTCAGGTCTTATTTTTTTTCCCTCCTCACCTTTGACAAGGACGTAGATTTCCACCAGGTCGTTTTGGTCGCCCTCCTTGTCTTTATGCCTGCACCCGTAATAGCCGGTGTGCTCGACCGTCACGTTGTAAACGAGGAGAGCGGAGGTGAAGCCGTTCGAAGTGACGACGGCGTCGTCCGCCAGAGGTTCTTCCCAGACTACTTCAGATTGGCCCGTGCAGCTGATGTTGATGATGGAGTGGGGCTCCAGCACCAGCTCGTCTCCTGCCGGCCATATGGTCGGGGCGGACAGTCCAGGTGTAACTGTGGGACAGTTTGCTCAATGTTAGATGCCGTTTTTGATTTTAAAAAGTGAACAAAACAAAACAAATGAATTAAAGGTCATATGTCCCCTGTAGATGTTTACCTGAGAGCATCAACACAATGGCAACACCACAGATCAGGTACATCCTCACGCTGTCCATGACTGTGGATGCTCAGGCCTGTGAAGACAAGAAGAGGGACTAATTATATCAAGTAATGTTTGTTTGTTTTGCATTTTTTCTGCACATTGATACTAAGCATGGCATTGAGCTATATATAGGGAGACCACATGTGTGAATCTCCCAAACGCTGCATTTTCTGACCACCCAAGGATGAGCCTGCGCTTTTCTAACGTGTGCATTTACTTAAATATGTTTGATTTCCAAGCAAAGAGGGGAGAGCTCACAATTTGCTGAATTGCAAGCAAATTCAGCTGACGCTGCTGGGCTTCACCTGCAGAATATCGTCCTTCTGCAAGATTTATATCGAATAACTTTATTTTCTGGAGCCACACCGGTTGACAATGGTAACAATGGCCGCCATAGTTATTTCTCTATTCGTTTACAGCAACATTTTAAGGAGTCAGCAGTTGTGTGTGTGTGAGAGAGAGGATGTTGAGTTCGGGTCACTGCACTTCCCCACCGCGGCCTGCAGAGGGCGACACAGTCCAACGTTTAGAGGCGAATCTAATCACGTCGCTTCTCAGAACTGTTCGCTTTGTTTTTGAAAGAGCTTCACTTTTTTCCTGACTCCGTCTGAGCGCAAAAAGTCCGAGCATAGATACTGCCGGCGTGCCAAACGTAGGAGATGCTAATTAACACATCTTGTTAATTTATTATTATTATTATTATTTTAATTTCTGAGACTTAAGGAACAATTATTTCCATTTCGGTGTTTTCTGTGCCAGTCTTCAGAGCAGTGTCTTCACGGCGATCACGTTTTAAAACAAGAGTTGTTTATTGTTTGTTTGTTTGTTTGTTTTCATTAAAACATCATTTATGTCAGGTCTCCCTCGTTAATTAGGCAGTTTTATGGTAATCTGGGAACTTGTTTTTTTTTCCGTTTTATCTTTATCAGCGTCTTGTCTTATTTGCTGAAGGGGACGGAGAGAGAAGAAATAAAAAATAAAATAATAATAAACAAAAAATAAAGAGAGGAAAAAAAACCCTCCATGTCATCTTACTATTTCCAACGATTGTCCGCTCTGGCTCAGCTGAGACAGGCTAAATAATCCATCGGCAGCGCGGTTCCTCAGCTCTATAATTAGGACATCCACAACGCGCAAAATGACATGTCTGCGTGGGAATCCGATGACCAAGCGTCTAATGCGATTTGACGTTTTTTTTTTTTTTCTTTTGGGGTTTTTTTCCCTATGCCCGCGCCTTGTCTGAAAAGGTTTCACAGAGGAAACGTTTCTTTCTGTCTTTCTTTTTTCTTTTAAGTTTTTTCTCAGTCGCAGTTTGGTGAAGAACTTTTTAAATCCAAATTGTGCTCGAAAAAAAAAACAGTCCGCAGAGTCAGCCGAGCTCCGTGCAGGGGCCCCTTCTCTTTATTAGCTCCCCTCCTTTGCCTCAGAAAGCGACTCAAAAAGTTGCCAAACTGTGCAACAGGTCAGACCCCCGGAGCGAGAAAAAGAAAAAAAAATAAAACAAACAAAAAAAGATCAATAAAAGTATTCCATCCAGCGTCTATCAGATGCAGTCCTCTTCCGAAAGGTTGAATTTGTTTTCTAAGTCCAAACGCGTCAGATCCGAGGAAAAGACCCGTTTGGTGTCACAGCAGGGTGGAGAGAGCAGAAGAAGAACGCGTTGTGTCTCCAAAAGGAAAGAAAAAAAATCAAATCCAGACATTTTTTTTTTAAAGAAAAAAAATCCTCTACTTCTCTCCACTGCGAGCGATCATATTCCACTTTAATTCCTCCTTCTGTAGGTGAGGAAAAGGGTTACGCACAAATTCCAACGTGTTTCCCATTAAAACCTCCGGGCGGCATCCCGCGATTGAGCCCTCGGTCTTCGAGGTGACACCTCCAGCTGCGACGCCGAAACTGAGCGCCTTTATCCGGAGGAGAGCGACACTTGGCCGCTCTGCGTCCGAGGAGACGTGAGGAGGAGGAGGAGGAGGAAGGGTAGAGAGAGACCATATGGCGCAAAAAAAAAAAAAAACAAGGCAAATGACTTGTGCAAAAGTTTCGCACAGCTTGCAAAGTGCTGAATGAAAGTAAAACAGCAACTGCAAGGACTTTATTCCGCGCACAGAAAGAAGGATATATAGTGACCCACAGCATGCATTCTGAAAGGTTGCGTTAATGTGAAGCAAGAGAGAGTCGGGCACGAAACAGACGTGCGATCGACCTTTCAATTACCTTTTTTTTTCTTAATCCCCTCAATTCACTCCTTTCTTGTCAGTATATATCCACAGCGAACTGGTCCCTCCAAAAAGGGCGCAGCGAGGTTCCCCCCACCTTTTTTCTTTTTTGCAGCGGCAGTAATCCTCAGAGATCCGGCGCTGTGTGCGCCCCGTCTGTCCGCATCCACGGCCGCCTCCTTCGCAACTGCACTCCAGCTACAGCGACCTGTAACTGATTCAGTGTTACAGTCCAACCCCCCTGCCCCGAGAAAAAAAAAAAAAAAAGTAATCATCTGGCTCAAAGTAAATAACTCTCAGGAAATGGCACATCTCCCCCACCCCTCACCCTCCCCTCCCTCTGAGCTGCACTTCTGTCAAAGTGAGATACTTTAGGAAAAGACGCAAATAATGAACAGATTCAGTTCTTGTGGCGCAAACGTACTTTTAAAACCTCGTGTCTGAAGTTTTGTTGTTGTTGTTTTAAAATGTGTCTACAAGTGTTCCTGTTGTCAGTAAGTTCGCCGACCCCTTACAGTTCTTTCTTTTCTTCTCTTTCTTTTCCTTTCTTTTTTTTTTTTTTTTTTTTTGTTACTCATAAAGAAACTCATCTACTTGCCTCTTGTTGCAGTCGCGAAGAGACGCGGATCCTGTGCATCACACAGAAACTCTGCAGAAGTGGTTCTAGATGGCGCTAACACACCGCCGTATAACTGCTCGCCCCTCTCATTGAGTTCATTCAGGTTTTTGTTTTTTTGTTTTTTGTATCAAAAGAGCCCAAACCATCAAAATGGTCCCCTTCTCTCTCCTCTTGTGTGACACGGAAAACTGATGATTGGAACCTAGTTACTTAAATCTGACCCCCTGCGCCTCCTACTCCCCTACCCCCCGGGGTGGAAAGCTTCCCTGACGGACATGAATAATGAACCCCTGTGAATCACCTATCTATTGGCATAGAATGGGGGTATCAGACTGGTGTGTGTGTGTGTGTGTGTGTGTGTGTGTGTGTGTGTGTGTGTGTGTGTGTGTGTGTGTGTGTGTGTGTGTGTGTGTGTGTGTGTGTGTGTGTGTGTGGACAGGGCCCCGGGGCCTCCTCCTCCTCTTCTTCCTCACTCCATGCAGCCGCATGGCGCAATTACTTCCACATGTTAGGGGAAAGAACAGTGTCCTTGTTCTCCAAACAAAGGATCTGAGCTCAAGGAAGACCCAGCTTACCTCAAAGCAAGCTCAGGCTCTCACTGCTGACCAGTCACATCCAGGTGAACCGGCACAAACGTCTTTATTGAGTACGTTTTCTCGAAATTGTTCATTATAAGGGAAAACAGTCACTAATTGTGTTTGTTTGTTTGCTTCTCTCATGTTCATTTTTGTTTCGGTTTCATTTTTAACCATGAAAATTACAGTATTCTTGTAAGATTTACGGATACATGCTCCTAGTATCATCCCCCTTGGGAACAAGTTTACTCTTACACTCTCTTTTTTTCCTCCTGTCCTGTCTCAAGCCGTCCAGCAGGGGGCTTCGAGGTCATTTCACATCTCACTCCAGAGACCCTCGGCTTCCTAATCACACTGCTGCTGCAGCTAAAAGACAAAAAGATTGTAACGTTCTGAAACAACTGCAACACCCAAGTTTCATGCCTTCAGTGTGTTTTTCTTAACAGTGACAATTTGTAATTAGCGCTTTTGATTTTGTGCTTCTGTTCTAAAAAAAGAAAGGCCACGCTGACCATCTTGTCTCTAAGTGTGCAGCTGTCTGAGGGGAGTGAGGGGAGTGTTGGTCAAAATGTTGTGGAGAATGCTTATGATGATGGTGATGATGATGATGATGATGATGATGATGATGATGATGATGGTGATGATGGTGGTGATGTTGATGGTGATGATGAAGGTGATGATGAAGGTGATGATGAAGAAGAAGAAGAAGATGATGATGATGATGATGATGATGATGATGATGGTGTGATGATGGTGATGATGATGATGATGATGATGATGATGATGATGATGGTGTGATGATGATGGTGGTGATGTTGATGGTGATGATGATGGTGATGAAGGTGATGATGATGATGATGATGATGATGATGATGATGATGATGATGAGATCATGATGGTGATGATGATGATGATGATGATGATGATGATGATGATGATGATGATGATGATGATGATGATGATAATGATGATGATGTATCTGTCTATCTGTCATGAGAGGATTTTATGTAATAGAAAGATGGCAGACATTTCTTACCATCATGATTACGATGACGATGATGATGATGATGATGGTAGTGATGATGATGATGATGATGATGATGGTGATGATGATGGTGATGTTGATGATGATGATGATGACGACGACGACGACGACGATGGTGGTGATGGTGACACAGAGAGAACAACACATTTTGTCATTCACTAAGTACTTGAACATTTTTCTTTTCTTTTCCACATCGTGTTTTTCCTCTCTGATGTGACTCCACCAGAGGTATCGACTTACAAAATGCCTTCTTTGCCCGGGAGTTTTCTCGCTCACGCCTTGAGGTGCTAAGACTTGTTTCCAGATGGGATGATGATGGTGCTGCCGCTGTGTTTCACTCAGTGTTCAGAGATGCAGTGCTTGTTTTCTGCCATGACAGTTTTTCTCCAGATAGGCCAGAACGTTACGTTTAGTCTCTTCTGACCACAGCGTCTCCTTCTACAGGTTTGCTTGGTTGGTAAACACTTTCCCATTTACATTTGAAATTAGAGTCCTGCAGTCCAACTTGACTTCTCAAGATGTTATAACCATTTTTTTAATGTAGACAGAGAAAAGCAACTCATACCATGATGCTGCCACTGTGATGTTTCTTTTTTTGGGGGATTGTGAGTTGAGAGTGATAAACGGCTCTGGAAAAAATAAATGAAGAGCCCGCTCCACCAAATCTTGATTACTGAGTGAAAACATTGGTGCGTTTTTAAATAAATATGAACTTGCTGTCTTGGCATTTGACCGTTTCCCATTTTCTGCAAATAAATACAACATTTTCACTTGGAGTTTCAGAGACATGTTGCCAGTAGTGCATAGAATAACAGAAGAATGTTCATTTTATCAAAACCTATAAGAAGTCAAAAAGTCAAATCAGAAACACTGATCATGTTGCAGTGGTCTCTGACTTTTTTTTCCAGAGTTGCATCAATATAAAACATGTTAGTTTACCACATATAATATGTTGCATGCAGGCCAAAAAGCTCAGTTACCCTTTTTGGACAAAGGGGGAAGAAAAAATAAATAAATAAAAACTAAAACTCTTCCGACTTTCACCGCACGATTAGTTTCCACCGATGATCAGAAACTCTTTCCTGCTCACAGCCGAGCTTTTCACTCGTTGCTCAGCGGGAAGTTTTGGACACAGGAATGGCGCACGGCCTCGCTCTTAAACTGACGGAGACAACGCAGTTTCCCCCTTAGCTACTCTCTACCCCCACACCCCCTGACCACCCCCGCGTCCCAGCCACCCCCCATCCATCCTCCTGGGCACTTCAACTTCTTCGAGCCTCCATCTCTCCGCATGAGACAGCAGCTGCGACCAGCTGAAAAGCGCTCTTATTAATTGTCTTTTGTCATGCGTAATTGCCTCGTTTTCAATGGTGGCCCATCTCCTCTTTGCGGATAAGTTGTGCTTATTTTTCAGTCCATTGGCAGGTAAAAAAAAAATCCAATTTCTCTTGGCTGCTTTGACTCCACAGTATCTCTGTGCGCGCGCCGCGCGCTCTGGTGACTTCGTGTCTGTTTGGACGCGGCTCTCTCTGAGTTCACGGCCCGCGCTCCTCGAAAACTTGGGTTCATTCTACCAGTCGCGCACATCTGCAGCAAGGAAACTCTAATTCGATTAATAGGAGCTTCAATATATATTCATTAGATACCCCCCTGCCCACCTCGTCGCCCCCTCCCCCACACCTCCACCAATAATATACGATCAGCAGCGGGATGTGAAAGGGGGCCATTTATTCCCGCTCTGAAAGGGCCTGCGTGGGACCAAAACTTCACCTGCTTCCCCTCTCAATTAGGAATGTATCCCAAACTCCCAACAGAAACGAGTTAAATTAGGCGTCCGCTAATTTCCAGTGGCCCCTCCCATCTAATCCCCCCTCCCCCACCCATTTGAGCATTCCCCTCCACCTCCCTCCACATCTCTCTCTCTCTATTTTTTTTTTTTAATTCACCATAAGTTGAAAGGTTCAAATAGCGCCTAATGAAACAGTGACTAAATCGTCCTCTGTGGCTCCGAGGAACCCTGTCGATGTCCCTCAAAGCTCTCTGAGCGCGCAGCCGTCGGGGGTCCCGGGCTAAATGCGGGTCCCAAGGCAGGACAATCTAACCTGTCAAAGCCTTTGCCCACTTCTATATATCCTCGTTCTGCGGCTCCGGTCGCTGCATGGCCTCATAATCAACCAACGTGGGACCCGAAAACGCAATTAAACTCGCTTTGGGACGACTGAAATCTTTTCAGAAGCGAACATTAATGGACGATTGGTGGGGGTGGGAGTGTGTGTGTGTGGGGGGGGGGCGTTATCGGGTTCCCCTTTTGTGGTCAAATCTAAGGAGAAATTACAGCCAAAACGCCCTTCTCCTCCAACCATCCATTTTCAGTTTAACTGGCGAAGCTGCTTTAACTGAATCTGGGCGCGATGTTCCTGAAGGACAGCTTGATGGGAAAAGGTGTTCATGTTAAAACCACGCGGTGTAGGAGGCGAATAGTTCATATTAAATGATGCCAACATTTCTATAGATAAAAGTTTGCGGTTTTTTTTTTGCAGTAGTGTGTGAGAAATGAGATTAAAAACACACTACACTGTAAAACGTCTTTTTGTTCATTTTTACCGTAAACATATCGCATTTATAGTAAATCTTCTTCACGTCAGCATGCCGCTTTTAAGTTTGGAGTTTGGGGGGAATTGGCACCCTTATAAATTTGTTGGCCACCAAGGAAGTGTCATAAATGTGTTATATGTTTTATTTCTTCATTTATTTTGTTCGTGTTTTTTATAGTGTGTAACGATTCAGCATCCCTGGCTGTTACTTCTTTCTTTTGATAAATGCAGAATGAATTCTGTGTATCAAATGTGTGTGTGTGTGTGTGTGTGTGTGTGTGTGTGTGTGTGTGTGTGTGTGTGTGTGTGTGTGTGTGTGTGTGTGTGTGTGTGTGTGTGTGTGTGTGTGTGGTCTGTTCTCGGAAAATTCTTTGCTATTGCTATTTTAATTACAGCATAATTACTAATTGAATGTAATTAACTGGAAAATAAAAAATCCAGTCAGTGTTTCATCCTGATATGATTTTTGGTTTACACGGAACAGTTTTCTGTCAGAAAAGAGAACGTTCCCGTCACACAACCACGTCTGAACGTCAGAAGTGGTTGCGTCAGCTTCATTAAGCAGCAACTTGGAGCTTTTTTTTTATTATTTTTTTTTTTTTTACAAATGCATCCCAAAAATTTTTCTCTACATTTGTTCGACTTTCCGAACTTGCCTTGGATCCCCACATGTCAACTGTTTTCCCCTTTCCGGTCCCTGCCAGGTTCTTGGGAGCCGTCGACAGAGCGAGAGATTGTAACTCCCCGATCAAGTCAGAGTGGACCCGGAGCGACGAGCCTGAAAACGGCTTACGTCCAAAAGTGATGGATTGCGCACCTGAAAACCGGGTAGAGGAAAATAAAAGGCAGCGGAAGTTTGGAGACGCGCGATGAGAAGCCAACACACTGACAGGTTCTCACAGGTCAACTGAGTGTTTATTACAATAAATACACATTTATACACACTGTTTACACATGGCCGCAGGCCGCAGGTCTACTTCAGACCTGGAATATTTATTAAGGGGGTTTTGAGGTTCTCCGATCGAATAGCTGCACTGACAGAACGTTCACATTTTTTAATTATTATTATTATTTAGGTGAATTAACAACGGGAACCAAACATGTAAACATAAAAACTTAAAATAAAAAAAGATGACAATTGTTTGGGCTTTTAATCTTTCACTGACATAAATTCGCATCGTTTCTTACTTCAGTTGAACAAACTTCATGCGGGAAATGAGCCTCAGCTGCGTTTTTTGGTGATGCCCAGCTGCGGCGTGCGGCGGTGGACAGAGCGAGCGCCGGCGAACGGGACGGGACTTTTGGGGGGACTTTGAGCGCCTCTCAAATCGGCGACACCTCCTTCTCCTCCGAGGCGGAGACCGGGGACAAGGACTCCTCGTCCTCCGACCTGGAATAGTTCGTGTGAGCGCCGGCACACTTGCAGCCGCCCTGCGCGCTCCTCTGCGTGGCTTTCCCTTCCTTCTTGTGCTTCACCCGGCGATTCTGAAACCAGATCTTCACCTGCTTCTCCGTCAAGTTCAGATACGTGGCGATCTCGATGCGCCTGAGTCTGGACAGGTACATGTTCGTAGAGAACTCCCGCTCGAGTTCCAGGAGTTGCGTGCTGGTGAAAGCCGTCCGCATCCTTTTGCCGTTCTGTATGTGGCTGTTCTCCGAGGAGCTTCCTGTGGTAAAACATAAAGAGGTTTTTGTTGTTTATTTGTTTGTTTTGAAGCAGAGATTTGCCTGTGTTTTACCTGTCGGGACGCGTCACTAAATTTCGTGCGTAAAAGTGCAAAAGTGGAGGCGCGGCGAGCGTCTGATACTCTAACAGGTGTCGGAGAGCGGAAGCAGGTGCTTACCAATAGAAAGGCAGTGGTATCTCCTGGGATCCGTGACGCCGAAGGTGGGCGTGCAGACAGACGCGTGTCCAGGATGCGCCAGCGCAGAAGACTGCTGCTGCTGCGCTATCCGTTGACAGAACTGCGCCTCCACACCTGGAAACTGGCTCTTCAGGATCGGGATGCCACCGCGCGAGGACTGGAGGTGCGACGTGACGCACAGCGGGCACACGCAGAACGTGCCGTTCTTCCTGGAGGGACACACCGGCGCGGCGACCGTCATTACGCTCGGGGAGTGCACGCTGATGGGGAGCAGAAAGTCCTGCGCCGGATGCTCGGCAGCCGCGCCGGGTCGCACCGCGTCCTTGATAATCAAGGAGTCGACGTAGAAGGACCGGGACATGGCTGCGTCGCAGAGGAAAGATCGCAGCAGAGCGCGGGACGACGGCCGTTCCTCATGTGAAGCCCTCGGGAGCTCCAAAGGTGCTTATGTTTGATGGTTCAACAAAAGGGACCCCGAGGAGGGGTTGGCCCCTCCATCGACAACCCACGTGCGCACTCGGCTCCGAGGGTCTGCGCTGTCACTGACCCAAACCACGTGACACTTCTCCGCACTGGTCCGATCACAACTCGCACAGCTTTGGCTCATTTTTTGATTTGAATCATCAAAATGAGCAAATTTAATGTTTGAAAGAGCTTTACTGTACAAGAAACAAAGTTATAAAAAGTTCTCAGACTATATATTTATATATATATTAAAATTTTTAAATATATATCATATATAAAATATATATCTATTTTATATTCATTAAATTTTATATAATTTAATGATACTGGTTTGATTGTATATGAGTTATATAATCCCTTGAATTATTCACGCGAAGATAAGGAGCTTTCTTTGCTCAGCGGCCATAATCACACTTTGAATCCGGTTGGTCCAGGTTTCACTTCCAGCAATTAAAGAATTATGAACCGTCGGCGAGTCTGGGCCGCGGCTATTTGACGGCGATTAGGATTCAATTAGAAAGTGTTTATAATGGCGGCTCTGTGCGGGGGTAAACAGGCAGCTATTTCAGAAATGCGTTAATCCCTCGTCTTGTGACGATAATTAGCGAGCTTGATCCCCCGGGCGGGTCACCGGGCAGGTTCAGCTTCTGCTTTTCATCTGCCGAGAGGAGAGGAGAGGAGAGGAGAGGAGAGGAGAGGAGAGGAGAGGAGAGGAGGAGAGGAGAGGAGAGGAGAGGAGAGGAGAGGAGAGGAGAGGAGAGGAGAGGAGAGGAGAGGAGAGGAGAGGAGAGGAGAGGAGAGGAGAGGAGAGGAGAGGAGAGGAGAAGAGAGGAGAGGAGAAGAGAGGAGAGGAGAGGAGAGGAGAAGAGAGAGGAGAGGAGAGGAGAGGAGAAGAGAGGAGAGGAGAGGAGAGGAGAGGAGAGGAGAGGAGAGGAGAGGAGAGGAGAGGAGAGGAGAGGAGAGGAGAGGAGAGGAGAGGAGAGGAGAGGAGAGGAGAGGAGAGGAGAGGAGAGGAGAGGAGAGGAGAGGAGAGGAGAGGAGAGGAGAGGAGAGGAGAGGAGAGGAGAGGAGAGGAGAGGAGAGGAGAGGAGAGGGGAGGAGAGGAGAGGAGAGGAGAGGAGAGGAGAGGAGAGGAGAGGAGAGGAGAGGAGAGGAGAGGAGAGGAGAGGAGAGGAGAGGAGAGGAGAGGAGAGGAGAGGAGAGGAGACACATTGATGAGTTAAGTTCCAACTGGTTTTCAGAATGTACTTTCATGAACAAACTTTGTTTCGATTAGACGGTTTTACTCGTTCGGTCTGAATATTCACATGAGTAAATTCAGTTGTTCTCTGTGTTCTGTGAACTTAAACTCTAGAGGCAACAGATAATATCTCATAATATTTTAATGTTACATTTCATAATGCAAATATCTGCTTGATCATCAGAACGAGACAATGTATCCTTTTGAAATTGTGGAGTTAAAAACAACCTGACTGAACCAGTAACTGTTTGGTTTTTAACCCAAAAAGTAGGTGGGTTAAATTAAATTATTTTAAAATCAAACAAACATTGTTTGTTATTATTATTATTTAAGATGTCAAAAGTGTTGCCAAGTTCTAAAACAGTCTTGCTCATGTTTTTTATTCTCCCCTCTGTGTAGATTTGACTTTAATTCCTAAATCAAATTCATTATAAACTCATTCAGATACATCATGCTAATTTGCTACCAAATATAATATGATTCTATAATTATATTATAGAAATGAATATAGCTTCAGAGCATTTGTCTTCATGACCAATTCAGGAATGGCAGAAATAGCTACTTGCTTTCACTAAGGAGACAGAAAATGACATCTTAAGTGATTTCTTTGCCTTAAAGAGCAGAAGTTAGTTTACACGACAAAAAGTGGCTCAGGTATTTTGTCATGTAGAACGGATAAAAGTTACAAGAAAGTCAAAAAGTGAGTGAGCGAAAGAAACACACTCAAACTTTTGAGTCTTTTGACTGCAGCTGGGAGGGAGGGACTGCCGCCTGAGGACTGGGCCTTTTATTACTTATGGATCAGCAATGGGTCCATTCTTTCACTGCTTGCTGTGATGTCTAAACCTACAAAAGTCTACAACAAATAGCAAGAAAAGCTGCAAATTTGTTATTGGTCTTTTTTTTTGTCTTAGGGGGTCTGAATAATTCAACTAATATTGGGAAAAGCTGGTAACTGTCTGAAGTAACATCTTCCACTAGACGATAGTGACGATGTTTTATTCTGATGTCCTAAGTCATTTTACCCAAAAATGATTGAGTGATTGAAATAAATAAATTCCCACCTTTTTCTTTCCAAAATATGTTTAGGCAAAAAATAAATAATAATAAAGACAAGAAAGAAAAAAACACGGAGCATATTATTTTAGGAAATTTTCCCTTTTCCATGTGGACCCCTACAGAAAATGCCAAACATAGTTGAACAATTCGGACATGCGGTCCAACGTGAGACATACATTTATGGACCACAGCAAACAGGACTCCTGTTACTGAAATGTGACTTTGAACCCAGTCGTGAAAAAAAAGAAAGAATTAGGAAGTCTTTAAAATCCAACCATCACAAAGATAAAAAAAAAAATAATTTAAAAAAAAAAAAAAACAGGCGCATCTGTCACGCAGACAATAATTGCCATAATAAAGTGAATTTTTGACGTTTGACAGGGAGGACGCGCAGTTGATATGATACAGATATGAACCGCAGAGGAAGTGAAGTGAGGAAGAGGAGGATGGGTTTGGGGGTAGGTGTGTGTGTGTGTGTGTATGTGTGTGTGTGTATGTGTGTGTGTGTGGGGGGGGGGAGTTAGGAGAGCGAGCAAACCGAGCGGAATGATGCGCGGCGCGCGCCCTCGGCACACCACGCGAAAGCTCAGATATTATTTTTCCATAATTCTGCATGATAAAATTTCATTGTCTATTAAGTAATCCCACAAATGAGATCCTTTATGAGGCTATAATGAGACCTAATTGCCAGGACTAGTGGAGCCACGTGGAAGGATTTAGGAGGCATTAAGCCGCCGGGTCCTGAGCACAGGCTGTTACCTCGCCATTACTTTCATAATTCAAGGAGAAAATTAGTCCATTTAAGGAGAAAAAAAAATACAAAAAAACCTTTGATTCCCTTTCTTCTGCTCAAGTTGACAGGACTACAGTCTCTCTTTTTTCTTTCTTTCTTTCTCCCTCTTAAGATGCCTGCACACCAAATGAGGCTTGTGAACTATCGCTCACTGTTTAAATGTTAAATAATAATAATAATAATAATAAAGGGTCGGAATAGAGAAACAAAACAAACAAACAAAAAAAACAGTTCGCCTGTTCTTTCCCCTCCACTGCTGTGTGCCCTTTAGTGCAGCGGTTCCCCTTCACCATTCAGCGCCTTTTCAAACCCCATTGATGGGCGATTAATCACTGGCCCCTATTCACAAACGTACAAATTTAAGTTGGATGTGTGGGGCGAATATGATGCAAAGCTTGCTCTTCTTTTGTGTGCATTTGGGAGTTTATGCAGAAACACAGCAGCTTGATGGACATCGTGGCGTCTCCAAGAGGAGGAAAGTTGCCAAAGTGCATCGCCGGAGCCCCAACACTCCAAGAAAGACCATTCCTCCGTGTGCGTCTGAAGTGGCGATGGGGGGAAACGAACAATGATCCCACGGACGGCGTAATGTCACGCAATGACTTTTCATCGGCAATTATCTGTTTGATGTGAACAGCAGCTGCAGCGGCTTCTCCCCGTTTCGGGGTCCCGCCAGGAGAAAAGAGAGAGACGCGTCTCTGAAAGGCTTCCTGCAGGAGTCAGGGGGAGCTCCGTGAATTTAATTTATATGCCGATGAATAATTGGGTTTGTATGCAAAAAAAAAAAAAAAAAAAACCGAGTTGGAAATAATCACGCGTTAAACGGCGTGGAGAGGAAAAAACAACTCCCCTCGCATCATTGTCTCCCGCCAGGAGTTTTTGAGGATCTCGGGATCAATAAACTGCGCAGGATTTTTTTTCTCTCTCAGTGTTTTGTCACGGAAATGTCCTTTAAATCTGTCCACAAACAGTTCTAGTGACTGGACTCAGACATCATTAAGGGGACCCGAAGCCCCTCGGCCCCTTTAGAAAACTAAAGTGACAGCCTCAGTGGAAGAAGAGGTTCCCGAACAAAGCCAACGAGGGCCCTGTTGATGGCCCTATAGAGCTGTCCTGCACCGGGCTCCCTCTAATTAGAGAGACGCTCCTCGGTCTCACAGAGCCGCTCAGACCAGACACTCCAGGCTCAAGTGTGTGTGTGCGCGCGCGCGCGCGTGTGTCCAAACGAGAGCGCCTGGACGTCCACACTCATCCCAAGCTGCGCTCCGAGGCTCGCACACAATCAAGGAGCGCCGAAAACGAGATAAACACCGACTGATTGCGACACTAAAGTTCACTGAGAAACATCTTCATTGGCGCTCATTTGTTAGGACTCGGAGTTCGTTCCCACATCTCCGTTCCTTGTTTCCGAAAGACTGAGCAAACGAGAGGGAGGAAAACAAACATCCTTACTCCAATCTGCTCTTGCTTGAGTTGTCAAATGGTCTTGAATTTGCGTAAATAAGAGGCTGTGACCACTGCTGTTCACTTTGGGCTTGTTACGCGTCTCGGACCCTCACGCGGTTCCCACGACGTATCCAGATGTTGCTTCGTTTTGGCTGATGATCGGCCTTTTAGGGGAATTACTGGGCGTCGGGCTGACGCCCGCGAACTCTGTCACAAGAGTCTCGGCCGGGACGGAAAACGTTCAAGCAAACGGAAACGCTCTCGCCACCTTCACCCGACTTCCGGTTACACCTGAATTCAGCCTGACGTTCTGTGATGGTAAAGATTTCGAGTGAAAACAGCAGGAAGTGACAGTCGAGCGTCATCAGCGTTGCCAGTCCCAGCAGCCGATACCCAGA